GTCTCATCCAGAACTTGATCCTTAGTTGAGGGGGATATCTTCATCTTAACTGGTTTACTTAAATTTTTGGGATCTTGACAATCTTGATTTGCAGAAATGGCAAGAACGTTGTTGTTTTGTGCCTTTTGAATTATATTTATTTTCCATTTACAACTATCAGCATACCCAGTGATCTCTTAATATATTAATTCTTTGTGAGTACTGTCTATCATCATTCTTCTCCTGAAGAATTTTTAAGAGTTGGATAATAGCTGCATAAACAAGCTCCTTCATTTGGTTCTCAGTAGACTGATAAGCATGTGCTTATTTGATAGGACTTACATTAAGAGGCATGAGGTTTTTCAAGTCTTCTGTGAACTTGGCAAGTTGGTTGCAAAGTTGATTTGGCAATTCTCAGAATCACAAGTAGAATTTGATTTAGCTGACCACAGTTGAGAATTTTGTCCTCATGGTGCGACTCAGAAGGGACCTGGCAGGGAGCACCAGTGTTGGGAGTTGACCCATTTTCAGAAGGTAGGCTTTTGGAGTTCATGTTGTAGGCCAGCATATAGGATGAATTAAATTAGATATAAGATAGAAGTAAAACATCCTCCTTTTTTATTAGAATATTTTGGGACCCTTTTATAGAGTCAATAAAAATGAATATAAATAAAATTTGATATTCTGATATCAAATAAGATAGATATTAGATCAATCATAATATCAAAATAAAGGAATATTAAATTAAAGTTGCTACAAAGCACCTGATAGATTCAGATAGGAATGACTTCATCCCAATTTGGATAGGACATCATCCTATGAGGATCTAGAAACTTGAGACTTGGTCTTAAGGGAAGTGTCAAGGTTTACCCAGGATAAGGCTTAACCTTAAAAGGGTAAAGTCCTGACATGGTGATAAAGGGATGGATGTTCAATAAAATGTCTCCTGTGTCCTCTTCTGTGGTCTTTGCCCAGAAGCCAGATGGTACTTTAAGACCATGCGTGGATTATGGACATCTGAATAATGTGACGGTTCCTGATCCCTATCTTTTGCCTTTAGAGGCAGCGATTTTCCAGCTATGTATAAATCAAAGGTTTTCTAAACTGGATCTGATGAACACTTTTCATCAGGTGTGGGTTAAGGCTGTCCAGAAGTGGCTGACTACAATTCACACCCAGTATTGTCACAATTGGAAATTTCCAGTTTCCAACTGCCAATATATAAATAATTCTTTGGTGCACTAACAAGCAACCAAAGTAGCCTAACTGAGTAGGGAGAGGTTTGGGGTACCATCAACGTCAAACATCGCCTACTGTGAGTTGGTTTGCAAGGGTTGGATAGTGGTTAGTCTGACCCAACCATGCAAAAACTCCTCAAAGCGGATACCAAAAAAACCAACAGGTATGCCAATATGCTAACCCCAATGTGACCTTTATTTTTATTCTGAATGATAAAAAGGCCTGCTGACCAGAGCTCATCTGGGGAGCAACTGAAAATGCTCCCCAGGAAGGGAAAGTTAGGGTAAGAATTCTGAAGTGAACTTCAGAATGGTCAGGCGCGCCTTATAAAGGCCACCCATTGGGGGCCTCACCCAAGTCATTGATTAGGCTCACACAAGCCTTATTTACAACTTGGGTGAGGCACAACCCAGTGCCAAAAATGACCAAACCAAAATATTTTACAGTGATTCAACTCAGACGCAGAAAATCTGAAGCTGAGTTGAAATGTACAATTGAGATGAATCTCAATTGTTACAAGTATGGCATTTACCAGTTTAAAGTTATACCCTTTGATCTAAAGAATTCTCTAGCAGCTTTCCAGTTTTTAATATATGATGACTTTAAATCTCATCTTCCCCTGTGCAATTGCTTATCTGGACTATATCTTATTCTACTCTCCTAATGCTAAATAAAACTGTAAAGATTTAATGTCAGTTACAGAAGTACTACATAAGTCTGGTATGGTTGCCAAAGCCTAAAAAATGTGCATTATCTTAAAAAATAAAGATAATCCTTGAAAATTTGATTTTGAAAAGATGTCAGCCATTGCGCCTTCTAAGCTGGACGCCATTTGCTCCTGGCCTACCCTTGTGACACAGAAACAATTACAAAGCTTCCTCAAATTGGTTACAATTTTTAAGAAGTTCTCACCAGCCATTTCAAAGCTGGCCTCACCAATTATACTCTCACAGGTAAGAAAGCCTCATTTGTTTGGACTCCATAATGACAGCAAGCATTTGAGACAATAAAGGAGGCTTTCACAACTACCCCTGTTCTTCACCATGCTGATGAAGATAAGCCATTTATTGTATCATGAGATGCCTTTGGCACTGCAGTAGGACTGTACTTCTGAAGGAACATGATGGGCAGGAACACCCAGTGGCTTACTTCTCAAGGAAGTTAAGCGCCACAGAGCGAGCCTGGGCCATTTATGATAAAGAGTTGGCGGCAGTTTTTTTGGTTCCTGATGCATTGGCGGTACTTGTTACAGGGACAAGCACACTATGGTTGTGCGCACAGACCACAAGGCATTCATTTATTATTGGAAACCTCAGAAGCTGGCCCACAGGCAGATCAGAACTCATCATGACCTTTTAAGTTTCTGATTTCAAGTATGAGTTTGTCAAAGGGGTGGCCAATATTTTACCTGATATCTTGAGCTGCGCACCCCTAATGGGTCCCAGTGTAGATATGGACTTAGAATTAGTCACAGTGTATCCCCCTGAATGAGTCATTGGTACGCCACCTCCATAAATTGCTGTGATTAAGTCCTCTTCCCACCCCTAAGGCCAAGCCCAAATCCCAACCTAAAAATAAAACCAAATCCAAAGACAAATTCTGCGAGTACACTCCCCCAGTACACCTGATATTTTTTGGAACTGGAAGACTCTGTCAATGAAGGTTCTTACCTAGATGCTATTATACCGGACATTTCGTCTGAGGCAGCGCCTCAGGTTACTCCATATGACCCAGTCCAGGTATCTCTTGTCAATGAGGGTTTCTGCTGGATGCGGTTTTGGCATCCCTGCCTAAGATCCTGAAGGATGAGACCTCCTGGCGAAGATTGACGCTGATAAAGATCCTTCTGGCTGGTATACTCAAAAGGATAAGGTAATATACTTTTGCGGCATGGTATGAGTCCTCTCTGAGATGCATTCTCGCGTTAATAGGGAACATCACGACTCCCCAATCCTGGAGCACCTGAGCACTAAAAATGCAACAACCTAATGAATTGAGGTTATGATTGGAATGGGCTGACAAAGGAGATTCTCACATGGATTGAGCAATCTTGATCTGCGCTAGTACAAGTCAGATAGGACAGGGCGTAATGGCTTTCTTCACCCTCTTCAACAAGCAGCTGAACCATGGACGTTACTGTCAGTGGACATCATTTTAAGCTTACCCACTCCCATGGGTATGACATGATCACTGTGTTAGTAGATCGCTTTACATAAATATGCTATCTTTATCCCCTGTATGACAACCACTAAATCTGAGGACATGGCACGGTTGATTATGGCACAAGTGTTTTCTCTTTTGGGGTTCCCCAGGAGGTAATTAGCAATAGGAGGCCTCAGTTTACCTCATGATTCTGGGAGGCTTTGTGAGAAATGTTGAAAATTAAGCCAGGCAGTTCTTTTTCCTATCACCTTCAGTCAGCTGGGCAAATGGAGTGCACTAACCAGTCCTTAGAGCAGTACCTGCAACGTTATACAACTGCTTCTCAGGTTACATGAGCATCAGACCTCCCTATGGCCCAATTTGCATACAACAACTCCCTCCATGCATCAACAGGGGTGTTACCTATGTATGCTAATTTTTTATACAACCCTGCGTTCAGTGTTAGGCCACAAGCGCGTAGTAACATTTCTACTACAGATCTCTTTGTCGCCAACATCCATAAGATGCTTCAACAGATTCAAAGCCAGCTTACAACATCCAGTAATGATGCCAAGAGACTTGCAGACAACAAGCGATGTGAACTCCAATCAAGTAGGTGATTTGGTTATGGTGGATACCAAGAGTTTGCGCCTTAAGGTGCCATTTCAAAAGCTATCTTGCAAACGCGCAGATCCCTTCCCCATTTCTCAGGTGTTGAGCAATAGATACTTCAACTTGGAACCTCCATCGCACTAGATTAAAAAATCCTTTCATGACTCCTCCTTATCTCCATTTAAAGGACAAAAGCCTATGGAGCTGGAGGCTATCATACTTGAGGGCGCCCAAGAGTTTGATGTGGAGCAGGTCTTGAACTCACGAAGTTTCAAATGTGGTTTGCAGTACCTAGTAATTTTATAAAGAATTTTTTTGTATAAAGATAGTTGGGTCCCTCTAAAGATGGTGGGAACTGTCTAGAGTTAACTGCCCAATTTCATAAGGATAACCCTGAGGCACCTTCACCTTATCCTCCCACAAAGGCAGCAATTGCAGCTATAAAACTCCCAACCCTGTACAAGAATTATGCTTTGGCTAGTGCCCCAAAGGGGGTATGGACCCTGTCCTTTTAGGAAAGAGTAATGTAATGGTCCTGGCTCCAGCTATTAATCTGGATAGGGTCATGCAACTTTTAGAAACAAAAAAGTCAAACCCTAGGCCCTGCACCTCACCCAAATCGCTGACCTGAGTCATACCTTGGATGAGAGATGAGTGGCTGCTACCCCTCCCCATTTGCCATAAGCCTCTCCCAAACTTTCCCCCAACCCAAACCCATCCTAGTGACAAAATTTGCAAGTTTTTATGTAAATAAAGAAACTTTATGAAGACTTTAGGAGAACCAGGAGCCCCACACCACAGTTCTCATTCCTTTTATTTATTTGAGGCAAGCTGACCAGGGGACAGACATTACTGAAATTTAGAAAGAAAGTATAAACATGAAACCTGAGCAGGGTCAACTCTGTTGTAGAAATTTTTCCACCTCCAGATTGAGACTCAGATTTTTCTGGTTACGTCATGGATAAGGTTTTGTGCTATTAGACCTACTAACCGCCAATAGTTTCCTTTGGCTAGCACCCCAATTGATGTGTGAAGGGTGGGAATTTAACCCACAATCTTCAGGTTGGTAGCCATACGCCCTACCAACTCGCTTTCCACCCCCTACCACAGTCCCCATTCCCTTTTCCCCAACTGATAATTCAACCTGAAGTTAATCTTAAAGGAGTAAACTTACCTAGAAAGCAAAATTTGAGCAAAAAGTCAAAAAGAAAGGTTCAAAAATGGGGATCAAAACCAACACCACATTCAAAAATCAAAAATGTAAATTCAGAAATTTGTAAGTTGAGAGATTGTCTGTAGAATAACTGAAAATATCATTCAACACTATTGAGGCAAAATTGGGTATTGAATCTATTTTTAACGAATTTAAAAAAGGAACTGGTTTACCCTTTCATGATTCAGCTAAGTAGCTGTTTCCCCCTTTACACTACACAACCCAGAAACCTGCTAACTGTAGGGTGTTGGTTTGTTTTTTGTTATTATTTCCCATTTGATTTTTTTAAAGATTTATTATTTGGAAATCTATCTAAGTAGTTATTTTACTAAAATAAACGTGAAACATGGAAAACAACTCAATATGTTGGAGCTTTTCCAACACCCTCTCCAATGCGCCTACCCAGAGCTTTGTGAAACCAGCGGTGCCATGTGAACTGTGGCTGGTCTTATGGGTCTTGGCGTACCCACAAAGGAAGCTAGGTATTTCCTTAGCACACTGGGTTCCTTACTGAATTGGCCTGTAATGGATGCAAAAAATCAATTTAAAAGTATAATAATTGTCCTGTAATTGACGTGAATTGGCCTGTAGACCCTGGTTTTCAGTGTTTATGGACATTTAAATTTATTTAGAGTTTAGAATCGGCAAAGTATTGTTTTTTCCAATTTAGTGCAGCAGAATGTTTCTCATTCTGCTGAACCCAATTATTTCCAATTGTTTTTTAGGTTAGGAAATCCCCAGCTAGATGATCTTTTGCAATTGCTTCAGCAAATTAGGAGAAATTTGAGCGTTTAACAGCTCATCCTAAAGTTAGTCACTCCTGCAGGTTCAGTCACTTCCAGGATGGCAGAACTCCTTTGAGAAGATGGTGAATAAACCACCGCTAAGACTTAATTTGCATGAGACCAAATCCTATCACCCCTGGCAATGCCCCCCTCGAAATTTTACTTAGTAGGGACATAACTTTGGAGGAATCTGTCATGAACTTACTTTATAACAAATCCTGATTGGACAGAGGCAATTGTATACTCCAGTACTTGATTGTAGATAAAATGGTACATTCCAGACCATACCATATCAATAATATGGACACAACCCCATGGTCGGTGGTAGTAGAACATTACCAGATCCCCTAGCTGGTACTCAGGCAAAATTGGTTTTTGAGTGTTACTCTAATCCATCTCACGTTTACTGATAGTCCCCATAAACTTGGCAGCTAAGGCATGTAGCCAAAGTAAATTATCCACCAGCCTTTACATTGCAAGCTCAGCTGCTTCAGGTGGAGGTCTCTGATATAGGCTGAACACTTGAGGGTAGGACTGGATCCTGGCCATATAGATTTTTAAATGGTGACCTTTGGATAACCCAGTGATAGCTCATGCGGTAATATAATAGAGCTGCTTGGAGTTATTCATCCCACCTAGATGGGTCACATTGAGCCATTTTACAGAGGATATTAACTAGAGTTCCATCACTCATTCCACTGTCCACTAGTAGCAGGATTATAGGGAGCAGTGAAGGAGGATAAGTGCTCATAACAAATTAATGTCAATGATTACTTAAAATATGAACTTGGCGCTAATATTGGACGCTTACCTTCAGGCTACCATTGTAGGTGAAGACATGTTTAAGTAAGAATGGAGTGGTCACTTTAGAAGTGGGCAAGGTAATAGAGATGGCCTCAACCCATTGATAAAATGGTTGACCTTCAGTTTGTCATATTAGTGCCACACATTGCTGTAGGTAGCGGATTGACAGCATTAATGCTGAAAGTAACAAATAGGGGGATAGGAACTATGAACTGATGCTGATACGGTGGATTAGGAGGTTTCTGGCTAGCACAAATAAGACAGGAATTAATAACATATTAAGTGACTTAATCCCTTCCTAATAACATTTCTCTCACAGTCACTAATAGGTGCTCCTGACAGCACCATGTCCTAAAGTTAAATGGCTCTCCAGAGCAGTCTCCATTCTAGCTGAGGGACAGACATATGGCAACCAAGAGGGTACAACTTGTTTAATTAACTGTTCATCTTCAATACTGTTCTTACTTTTATCTTCAATTGTTGCTGCACTGTAGGAGACTCTTGGATCTATTTCTCTAGTTTCTTAATAAAATCATGAAATTAATATTCCACAGAGGTGTAGAGGGTCAATACAATTAGTTGAGACAATTCATCAGTACGATGGTGCACTATTTCTACATGATGCAAATTGTGAAGTCATATGTTTGAATTTTGAGGGCCCAGCGGGACATCCATCCATACATCCAGCTCTTCATCTGCTATAGCCATCACAGGTAGTCTGAGGGAAAATTGCTTTTCCAGTGACAGCGGTCTATGCTGATTGGCAGGTCAACCAGTATGGAGACTGGCTGACCTTGCCATTTTGCCTTAGGTGATGTGGCCCGCAGCAGCAGTTGCCCCTTGGCATATCACCTGCGCCATTTTGTTTACTCCAGCCTTGCCCCCAAACCATACTAACATACATAAACTTAAATAAAATGGGAGAATAGGAAAAGGGAGATGTTTATTGAGAGGGATTTGTCAGGTATTTATATGTACAAAAGGGCTAATGCGCCTGTTGGCATTGTGATTCTTTAGACTGTTTCTGAGGTCCAAAGATGGGCTCAAAGCTGAAAATTCGTAAAAAATGGTCGCATAGAATTTGAACTCAGAACTCAATAAAATTTAAGTTCAATCCAAACGCCGATCTGATTATGCCATAGGAGGCCAAAAAAGGAAAGAATAGACTAAGTACAGAATACTTTATTAGACTAAAATGTGTCAATATTTATAGAGTTCATAGGGATACGGTGCCTCAAGGATCTTTGTGGCCCCATTTTTTCAGGATCTTTCAAGGCCTTCCAGATTGACTACCTGTGTGGCACCCTCATTGTATTTTATTGTACCCATGACCAAAGTGGTGAAAACCCCACCTCAAGTGATTCAGTAAGTGGGAATGAGACTCCTGAAGTTTTCTCCATTGATCCTCAAATGCATGTGAATTCCTGAATGAGTTTTGGATCAGTGTCACTAAGATGAGGCTTCATTCAAATAGGCTCAAGAGTCGATTCACTGTGGCTCAATTCAGAAGTAGGGACTTAAATTAATTTTTTATTTTAAATCCCAACAACTCCCCCTCAAGATCCAATTGGAGGGGGTATAGGGCCAAAGGAACTGGCCATGCACCCTATTAACCATGGGTTATTGGTTGAAATCAGCAATGGATTACTCTGACTATACCTTATAAAGAACCTTATATGGTACAGAGCAAAGAATGTCTAGCCTATTCTGTCAACCTCCAGGTCAATGGTGATAGAAGAGAACAAGGCCACCTAATTGGATAGTTGATATGGTGGGTCAGCCAAGATTAAATTGGGATGTATCTCTTCCTGTAGTGGTGACAATGTCTTGTGTGGCTAGGGCTTGAAGCCAGATAATTTCATTGGCCAAGGCCATATTAATTAATTCAGAGTTCTCAGGTGTGGAGGTATTAAGCAATGGCTGGACGCTACTTGGTAGCTGAGGTGCATGCCCATATAGGGCTTCAAATGGGGACATCTTAATGACTTGGTGGTAGCTTATCCTGTAGGCAAGCAAGGCGCTGGGTAGGTAGTGGTTCCAGCGAGTAGGATCTGAGGCAGCCATCTTACATAAAATGGAGATAAGAGTTCCGTTAGTGCGTTCTACTGCCCATCAGTTGATGGGTGGTAAGGGGCAGCGAAACTCTAGGTAGTGCTGAATAGCGAGGTAAGTTCTTGTACTAACTGTACAATGAAGTTCAACTCGTTATCCAAAAGTAAGGTTTAAAGCCCATGCTGGGTAAAAACAGATCAAACAAGAAAGAAAGATGTGACTTTGGCAGTGGAAGCTTGGACCTAAATCACTTCAACCCACTTGGTTAAATGGTCCACAGCTAGGACAATATACTTATGGCCATGCAACCCAGTGGGAAGAGACATTACATCAATGCTAATGACATTGAAGGGCCCCGTTGGGGTGATGACTGAGTGTTGAGGATTGGCTCAGTCTTGGGATTTGTAGTCATACATGCCTCCAAGGCCTCTTAGATGGTTTCTACCATTTGGTCCCAGTAACATCGTGACTTCAGCCATTCGTGAGTCTTCTTAATCCTCCATGTCCCACAGTAGAATGGCCCTCTGCAATAATATTGGTTTGGGAAGAAGGGAGGAAATAAGGGAACAACTTCTTATTGACCCTCTTGTAGAGTAGCCTGTCCTTAATTTGAGTATCTTGAGTCATCCATTGGAGTTCAGCTTGGACCTCAGGAGTTATCAACTCCCATTGCTCAGGGCAACCTATCAGATTGTACAGTCAGTCCTCCTTGGGGTTCAAAGCTGCTAGCATTAGAATCCTGGAGAGGCCGTCAGCGTTTTGGTGATCTGCGCCTGCACAATGGACAATGGTGAAATTATAGCCCTGAAGTTTTAAGGCCCACCTGGATAAATGACCATTTGGGTCTTTCATTTGCTGGAGCCACCGGAGCGAGGAGTGGTCTGTAACAATGATAAAGTGAGTACCATAGAGATAATGCCGAAATGTTTGATGGATATCAAGACATCTAAACACTCTCTCTTGGTAACGCTGTAGTTCCATTCAGCTTTACTCAGTGTCTTACTAAAATAAGCCACGGGATGGTCAACCTGATTTTCATCATTTTAGGCTAGGATAGCCCAGATGGCAACATCATTAGCATCTGTAAACAACAATAAGGGTTGGTCAAAATGTGGGTGGACTAGAATTTGTAAAGTATATAGAGAAGTTCCCAATACATTAAAAGCCTGTTCTTGTTCAGGCCGCCATTCAAACGGCACATTATTCTGCAAGTGGTAGAATAGTGGCTCAGCTAGGTCGGCAAACTGGGGG